AAGATTGTTTAATGAATATTTCTTGCGCAAACTGCTCGCAAACTGAACGCAACAATGAAAATAATAGCTGTTCTATAAAGCTTGGTCCGCCTTCTCGATCTATGGCGCCGACGATTACCTCAAAGGCTTCCTCCAACATTTTATCAGTAATTCTTTTTGACATTTTGCAGCATAAACCAACCCCCATATATTCGTCGAGCTAGCAAATTTTGCCAGGGTCTGTGTTTCTTCTAATTTGTGTTAGCCGATTCTCCAGTCGGGACATACTACACGTAACAGACGAGTTATTGCTGCTCTTAAACATGCATTGCCCTCGTATTTTAAGCGCCGATTATGTGGGCCGTGAAAGTGATTTGAGTTTTCACAATGATATTCAGCATGGAGCTGGTCGGTTTGAATCCCAAAATCTGGGGGACACAGAGTCGAATTTGGGCAATTCGGTCGACCGGCATTTTTCGTACGTATCCTAAAATGTTGAATAATATTCACTATCTAGATGACATTGGTAAAAATATTTGTTGTACGGACAATCAAGGCACAGTTGACAATCTGGAAAAGACACGATCAGAGAGGCGCAAAAAGACCATGTTGAAAGGAAGGAAAGCAAGCATAGAAACAATAATATAGGACTACATTCATAATATTGTTGACACGAAGATATTTTGAATGAAATGACAATGTAATTCATGCCATGGCCGTTGTAGAGTTGCTATCAACAAAAGACAGTCTAGTTACCACAGACATTCGACAGATAAACTGGCTTGCTGACGGCAAGGTTTTCGCTGTGATACGGTTGTGTTTTGCCTTCTTAATTTCTTGTTACTCAAATGAATACGTCTGTCTCATTAGAAGGAAACGTTACACAACAGGTTAACGAGAAACGCAAACGTTTCGTTTGCTCGGAGTTGCCAAATAAATTTCCCATTAACGTTGACAGATTTGGCTGTAAAAATTATTTGTGTAATTTGAATCGTAATTTATATTACTTTTACTGTTCGCGGATAAATCGTATCATACACACTTTTCCGATTTTTCCTCTTTGAAGAGAAAAAGGCTAGCTAGCATACAACAAACACAATGACACGCAAACTTTTAACTTTAATTATGCTAATCGTCAGATTTACCTTTGCATTAGCCAATTTTGCAGATTACTGGATGCTTTTTTATTTCCTCTTCAATATGTGAATGTCTTAATTGGCTTTATTGGCTTGTTTAGTTCTTGTCCCCAGATGAACATCGTTTATGGGAAGTAAGCCAGGGAGTAATAGACCAGTAATGAAACTACAATTCAATGGATTAATTTATAATAATATTAACAAGTACATAAATAAAAAACATCAATCGTGTGAATGAACCAGCCATCGATGGCGTATAACGTCCCGTCGTCAATATCGTCTCATCATGGGCTCGTTTAAGTATCCTTCACAAATATTTGCCTGAAACCGCAATGGCGCCAGTTACACGATTCTATCTCTTCCAAAAGACTCTTTCTTTCCGTTGGATGTTGCACCGATTAAGTAATCATTTTTTGGGGATATTGAATATAATATGAAAGCCGTTCCAAAAACTTTGACGCGGTCGCGGTATCTATCACACGCTCATCGATGCTAAGCTTTGCGCTAACTATTTGAGATCCCTCTATGTTTTGCTTAAATTCCGATTCAACAGACTTTATCACCTGGGGTGCTTTCGGTAAAGTTCCTGTGAGATAATCAATAATGTCTATGGAAGAACTATTTTGCGACTCGACATGTGAAGAATGTTTGCGTGACAAGTAATCAATGTCGTCCGCCGCTGCCCGTTTGGTTACGCTTCCTATTGCAAGAGTGCATGTACGTGGAGGATCGATTATTTCGGTAAAGTCGTCCACGCCGACATTGGAAATTCTGAAATAGTTTGTTTGTAAGGATCTAGAAATGCAAGCATTGTGTTTTGAAACAAATAAAACAGGTGGCTTACCTGAATGTACCACCCTCGTAATTCTCAAGCTGAATATCTCTGCCATGAGCCTTTTCTGTTAACTCCTTCATAAGTTCGGAAATGGTTAGCAGTCCTTTCTGATTAGCGTTCTCCATTACGGACGGGCTGATTCCCGCCGGCGTGGGCGTACCAGCCGATATGTTAATCGAGTCGAGTTGTTCACGCAAATCTTTCTCGTTGGGCGCGTATCTGACGCCTGTCATCGGAACATCACGTAATGCCAAGGCTGTAGCTTTAACGAAAAAATCATTCATAGCTACGTTCGCTCGAAATTTTTCTGTACGTAAATTATAGGGAACAGATAATTGCATTATTATAATACAAATGCTGCGAAACAGAAAAAACCAGACTATACTCCTCGTACGCATTACCATTCAAAACGTGACGGAATTGTAATAGGTTGTCAAGCACGATATCTTTCTGGACGTACGAGTGCGGAACGGTGCTCTTTGACTTTGTAACATCGGAAGCCCCTGTTTTACGCATTTCCGAAATAGTCTTGTCCGTGGATTCGGGCAACGGAGATGGTGTAGTCTTGGCCTTGGACACGTGTTTCTATTGAATATATGCAAATGTAGACCAGATCATATAACCAACGTCCTCAATACATCAACAAGGATTTTTACCTTTGAATCTGATGACTGTGTCTTTGCGGCTGCCACCTCTGCGGGCGTCATCGACTTGGTAGCCGGTGGAGGCTTAATCTTACCCATATATGCCAAAACGTCACCTTTCAACAATCTCCCTTTTGGCCCAGTAGTTGCAATCTTTGCCGTGTCAGTTATCCCGTTTGAGAGTAAAAGATGAGCCACTGCCGGAGACAGTCGTTGATTCCCCGACTTGGAATGAGCCGCATCCGTAAGATTTTTTTTCGAGGCAGAGTTTCCTGTAGATTTCGTAGCGTCTGCTGCCGTATCAGGAATCTCTAGGTTGGATATATCATCGTCTTCTTCAGCAGTCAAGGCAATGACAGATCCAACGGCGCATCTCTGTCCACCAGATATCTTGGTCGCATAATAATACAGCATAGCAAACATCATTATCATATTTTATGAAAAATGCGGCAACAAAATTAACAAAAGGGGAGGTTTTTTTTTTATTACCAGAATCTTTGCGAGAAGACCGTCCTCTGGAGCTTCTACCTCAATTTGCGCTTTGTCCGATTCAATCTCTAATAGTACCTCGCCAGCCGAATATTTCTGCCCTTATTCAAGATCAGAGTCCGATATCAACTTCAGATAATTTAGTTGGTGATTCTTTATAACAAGACGCGTCTCGGCGCCTCACCTTCCTGTTTCTTCCACGAGACGATAGTTCCCTCCGTCATAGTCGGAGAAAGTGCAGGCATTGTAAAATGTGTGACAGCAGGCCGTATTAACGATGTGTGAAATCCTGTCGACAACGAAAATGTAATTTTTTAATGCACGATTTTATTGAATGCGCATTGAACGTGTTGCTTGTTAACTGGAAAGCTTGTCGAGATTGGCATTCAAACGTAATTGTTCTATAGAGTCAAGTGCAATACCTTTATAACGAACAACATTGATAATGGCTTTAGAGTTTCTAAAGATATGCTGCCTTTGTAGAAGCGAGGTGATCTGTTGCATTATTGAAACGAACGAAATAAAGAATAAACCTTTTGAAAAGAGAGAGCTCGATCTTTTTGCACGTGAGGTTGTTCCGCATGCAGACCCGATCTGGGCGATGACGAATGAAATTCGGCCAACACATGTGCCAGATTCATATGCAAATTGACGTATTCTTCGCGCAAATAATGAAAAAACGCCCTGAACAATTTTAGCGACTACCTTTTCTCAGAAACATACATAATTGCAAACTCTACCAGTGACGAAAAACAAAATGACGCTTTATTATAACTTGGTCTTTGTCTTGTTGATTCTCGAGGTTACAAATCTATACCTACTCTATATTGCCTTGTTCTGTTGTTCACTACGCCTCGAGTTGTCGTGTATTTAACCATAATGCTTTATGCATATGCTATTACAGATGGTGGCCTTCCTTGTGTTAATAGTAAGCGACGCATTTGCGTTGTCATTTGGTACCGAAAAATCTGTTTCTTGCTCCCTAACCTTTATGAAATGTTATTAGTTGCCTTTGCCTTTTGGTATAAGGCGTAAGATATTCCGTTGGGTTTCCAATTCGGCTCTGGTAAGGGCTCAACTTTTGTGAATACATTCTATTAGCACGGGTTTTGATTGTAGACTTAAAAAACTCGATGTTTATTCTAGATGGATAAACTACGATACGGAATAACGCCCATTTTCATGTGAATATTTTTGGGTTTATCGTGTGATTACTCGCAAAAAAAGAAAAAGATTAACTTTTAATATGGTCTCTAACATTTGATCTGTTTTCAGCTTCATAGCCATTCTGTTTGCAGGTAGAGTTATTATATAATCAAAGATGCTGGTAAATTTACGAATATTAAAAATGCACGTTTTTTTGTAGATGCTGTGATTCGTATGATCAAAGTGGAACAAGAGGCGCAAAATACTGAATCGCACACTCATGATATGCGCGTGGATATTAATGCAAGGAAATTCTATGCACAGCGCAACATGTACGTGTCAGGTGTCTTATCGGATACGAGGATGCACTAATTGACTAATGTGTTTTTTATAGGTACTTGACAGGATTCACGTTATTCCTTTCATTGTAAGTGTTGATTGGACTTTGCAAAAATGATATTTTTAAAAATTTCACGTTCTGGAAACTAAATCAGTGAATTTTGCCCGATAGAATTCTCAATCGAACTTATGCTCTTATCCTGGACCTGTTTGCGTCTGAGGAAAAACTAGAGACTATAAAGAAACAAGCTGCTGATCAATCCAAAGAACGTTTACGTCTCAGTGATTCCGAGTCTCAACTACAGAACGACATTGAAACTCTCCAGAAAGAACTCGAAGAAGAGCAAAAGAAAAGTAGGGACTTTGAGATATTGAAGAAACAAGCCAAACAACAATCTGAAGAGTACCAGCGTATGGCTGAGGAATACAGCAAATTAGAAAAGGAATTAAAGCGAAGAGATGGCGAAGTTGATAAATCCAAGTAATAAGAATGTTATAGTCTATGAGCCTTGTCTTCTCATTCTCATATGTATGCAACAATATGTTGTGTGAGTTTATTGCTTTCTACTTTCATGATTCTAAATTGGTTTTTTTTTATATTATAAACGAAGATTATATTTCTTATGTTTTCACGATGATGTATTACGAATGTCAATGGTGTCTAAGTTCTATCCGAATAAACGAACAGTCCATCATTTCCCGTCTTTTTGGACTGCTCTATTTTTACAAATCGCCTCTCCTAATATAAGAATCTGCATTTTCTCGTGATTCAACTGACCCTCGATCGGTTAACTTACTGTAAGCATCATAAAGAATATCTTCTCCTACTCTCTCGCTCACCTTGCTACCCGTCTGTTTCATCAAACTTGTTTATGCCAAACAATCGAACTCTATGTAGCTGTGGCAACTTGGCGATCAAAACGATTAATAAAGCAGTAAAGTTAATCATAAACGTAACGGCGTCGTAGAACGTATAATGTGTACTGAGAAGGAATCTATGTGCAAGAAAGAGACGGATATGAGTGGGAGTTTGCAAACAAATGAGCAAAAAAAAAAAAAAATTCATGTCAAAAAATCTCACAGAACGGTTGGGACAGCCATCAAATACTTCTTTGCAGGTGTAAATTGTGCTCCATGGTCAATTTGTTCCCACATGGTCAAGTTATCATAGGCGCCAGAGTTGAATTCCCATGGTACCCCCTTTACCCAATGAAACATAAGGAAGCTGGCCTGTCGACAACAAATGAGATTTATGTGATTTGTAGAGAGGACTATGATATTATTATACAGTAAAGAATTTGGCACTTTACCACCATATAGGACAGATTAGTTAATGTCCAGCTAGCCTCCGATGATACGCCAGGAATACTGCTAAAAAGTATCTTTACGCAAAAGATCAAAAAGATGTGAACTACCCAGGCGCCTGTATGTAAGGATCAAAAATTGTCGAGCGATAAGTACGTCAAACGGTCAAAGGGCAAGCATGTTCGAGTACTACATACCAGGATAGTACACCCAGTCAGAGTTCAGGTTGGGTAACGCTGACTGGTCGAGTGTTTCATCGTAGGAAGCTGGTTTTTCGGCAGTAATGAAACTTCGAGAACGGTTTCTGGACATTATATTATTCTTGATGAACCCCCTTCACCAACATTGAGTGTTCGCTTTAGAATGTATGACGTTACACGAGTCCGATATGATTAATTTACGTAATAGGAAATTACTGGTAGCCGTCACAGTCACACTAGATTTCGACATTACCTGCATTACAGAAACAAAGATTTAAAAACATTTCCATTGCCGAATTTATTATTAGCCCAACAATTTCAGGAAAGAATTATGTCTCGTCTTTCTTGCTGGCCTTGGACAATATCAAATTCAATTTTATTGAAATAATTCATAAAGTAGTGTCAGCTGATTCGTGATACTTATTATGTAAATTCACACTTCTAACATCAACGTAATGAATGGTCTTTACGTCGCATCCTGGTAGGTGTATCTAATACACTAGAGCGTGAATCAGGAAGTTTCGTTCCGTCAGCATTCTGTCTAGTAACATAGCGTAAGAAATCTAAGGGATTAAACGTTACACAAATAGCATAGACGCGTCTCTTAGACTAACAAATCCGCGTGCAGTTTGAGCAACACAACACAAAAGTTTCTGTCATTAGTATTAGTATTAGTAGAGCTTAATTCCACTAATTGCGTTTAGCGACCTCGTTTTAAACACTGCCATTATCTTACCATCGTCTCCGCCCACGATCTTATTTCACTCAAGTCGGTTTAAACAAAAGGACACCCAATGGACACCTTCTTTACGACTTTACAGGAATTCGCATCGTCGTTAGTCGTTCAGACACGTGAATTAAATACCGCACTCTCGACTTCCGCGTTGTCTCTCTTGTATGGACGCCAAGCGGAGTCACTTGGTGAGTTTTCCAAACAAGCGAAATCCTTACTGGATGAAGCTCTCGAAGTAGAACGAACACCGAATATGAAATATCCAATTGGAGAATTTTTTAGCATTGCTGAAGAGGGTTACAATAAGGTAAGAGCGCGATACCATGGATTGAATTATCGGTAGGTTGAGTTGGTATCTCCAAGAGCGCATTTGGCAACAGAATGTTTGTGATGCAGGTGCAAGAGAATATAACAACACTCGAGGAAACTCTGATGGATTTCGGATACGAAAAAAGACCTTTAGAAGAAGAAGGAGGAGGAGAAGAACGATTAGTAGCTAATCGCAATTGCCTTGATCCCACGTATAAGGCTTCATGCCAAACAACCGGAACCGCCGACACCAACAGTGCAACCATCTTTAATTCCAACATTCCACTATCCCAACCCCAACCCCAACAGCAATCTCAATCACTACCACGATCTTCTCTTAATCCTTTTGACGTATCTTCCATCGATCTTATTCCTGCAACAAACCAAAAAACGCTTCGTGAATTGCTTACACCACCAATGAGAAAAGTATTTGCAGAAATAAATTTAAAGCAGCAAGAGAGTCCGACATTGGAGAGTTTGGGAATATCTAATCAAGCATTGGCTTTGATTAGGGATGGTATGATGGTAATTTTGCTACGAGAATGATATTAGGTGCAAATGCGAACAGAACGGCAGTGATTGATGTAATTACCTTTTTTTTTTTCTAGAACCGACGCCTATGCCTGAACGCGTATTAGATTGGAATGATATAACGTAATTTCGGATTAGTTTCCAATGGCATTAAATTTTTTCATTCCTAATAATATATATTTTTTTCAATCTTAATCAACTCTTCTCTTTATGCAGAAACTCTCCAAATTTCTGCTCCGTGCACACACCCACATTTGAGAGAGATCCTCCTCTTCAAACATCATCTCACCTTACTGATTCACTTACAAAAAGCGGTGAATCGCCTAGAAGACAGCTAGTTTATAAGGATGGAGATAAGTCAAAGTTGGAATATTTGGAGATACGAAAAATAGATGCAGAGGAGTTTAAAAAACTGGGATATTTTTGTCAGCAGACTAGTTTCGAGGTAAGTTGAAGATAATAGAATGATGGGTTAGAGTTTATTTTGACATGTTTTTTATTTTGCTTTTTGTAGCGTCTTAATAATGTTGTTATGGACATAAACGACATAATAAGAGGTATTGTCCTTTAGAACAAAAAATGCGTACCGATTTATATTAATTTAAACTCAATAATTATAAGATAAAATGAACAAAGCCCGATACGATAATGACACTATCTGGGACGAAATCACAGCGGAAGAACTTGAAACAGACATTGGAATTGGTAGATCTTAGTGCATGTTGCTGTTTTGTATTTCACTGTTATGATTATGCTTACATTCATTATCTTTACTTTCGTAGGCGTGCTAGAATGTCGTGAAAAATCAGCAGTTTTATTGGCCTTGATGCAATTAGGAAGAATCGAAGTACGTGGATCACCAAAACAAGCAAATAAACGATATCGTATACTGTATTGAGTGTTTCTGTTGATAAAAACGTCTCTAGCAAACTTGGTTGTGAACAGATAAATTAGTGTGAACGTTACAGGTCTCTCGGAAATTCGTTTCTCCCAACTCCGCTTTAGGTTAGGTTGAATCAATGAAACTGACTTGCATTCAATAAAGATTTTAGATACACATCTGCAGTTTCATCTTCTACAGTAACAATTCACATGATACAATTAAAGACAAGACTTATTTTGGGAGCCAGCAACTAAAAAGAGTCTGCGAATATACACACAACCATTTATGTCAAGATGTATATACCTGGTGAAGCTTAGCTTTTCTTGACTTGCAAAAACAGAACTCCAGTTATAGCTGATAGTAATAGTATATTAATATGCGAGATAAACTATTACTATATAGTCAGGCACATGACCAATTTACGGGGTTTGTTGCGTCACGGACTGTCCCACATTATCCATATCACTATAAATCTCCTCAATCTTCGATTTCCCTCACTTTACCCTAATACGTACACGTATTTGTCGACTTATGCTTGCACCTACAGTTCCGGCTCTTAAGTATTAACGAGAGTTTGGATGATTCCAGTGCAATAAAATGAGGAAGAATCTGTTATTAGAGGGATTTGACGTTATGTTGTTGGATCCTGTCAAGAGGTTCAGACAATTATTAGACAAGTGGAAAGAGAATGCTATTCACATGGGATTGGAAGTTAGATGGGAAGAGCGTAACAGGAATTGAGAATGATAAATTGATAATCCCTAGGTCCTGTTCATCTTAAGGAGAATTTTTAAGAGATGTGATCATGATATATAGACCGCAATATAGCCGTTCAAACATCGATGCATTCCCAGTCTGGCTCGACCGAACGTAGGTGTCTTAACGAGGGATTGAGGTTTTTCATCGTCAAAGACGCTGATATATCCTCGTGCTAGTATCCTTTGGCCCTGGTTATAAGAAATTCTCGTATCAATGAGAACGGTAAGAAGAGATAGACGTTATTGATGTTTGCTGCTTTGCTGAATAGATCAATTGTCTTTGGGATATGGTGTTGCTCATTCAACAGCCGTGGTCGTGACAGAACGAACCCATGGATGGTCTTCATATTTGCGTCAGAATAATAGCTAGATCTTAGTTGGTAGATTAACTATTCAATTCTGTATGTAGTCTCATGTTCAAGTGTTCTAAATACTCAATATATAATCGCGTATATTGTTAACAGGGGCATTATTGATTATAATAATAATTGAGGTCTTGTATCAAATTAGTTAAATTGAACTTCTACTTTGCTTTATCGTTGTTATAATTGGAAATTGTACATTCAAAGAGCTGTGGATGATGTTCATAGCTTAAAAACAAGAGTCCAAACAATGAAAGACGTATTCTTGTACATTTGCAAGAAAGCAATCTCTCCCTTAATGATCGTATTACTCAAAATGAGTCTTGACATAAGAGTATTTATAGATTAAAATACTGGAGAATATTACGGTCATCAAGTGGATAATATTTCACATCCTTAAAGCATCATGAAATTGTTTGAACTAGATTGATGAAGTTTGTCACATCAATTCCACCACCTCATATCACTATAGATAAAGTACGTCATTTGTAAACCCGCCCCGCCATTCGAAAGTGTAGGGAGTTAATAGCCGCCTGATTTTAAGCCCAGCCCAATCACCGGACTATAATGCAAATCTATTGATGCAAGCTTCCCCTAACAAACTGATGAGTTGTATTACTCGAGCTTTCTTTTTGAAATTCAGACGAACTGCTGCTTTATAGGAATTCGAACAGGTTTGTACTGCTGTAGTCGTTGTCCTCTGGATTGATTCAAATCAGGCAATCACATGAATGGCTAGATATGGGTAATCCACAGAAGTGCTAAAGCTTGTGAACCTTCGAGATCGATGTCAGGACCACGAAGGACACAATTTCTGTACGACAATGTGAACATGAAATAGCATTTTGTTCTCGATACTTACTTTTGCATATTAGAAATGGTGGAGCAAAAGCAAAAAGGTGAGGCGCAAAACGGCCACTCTCCCAACTCACCGACAGCAAATTGTAACAAGAGACGACCCAACAAGAAAAGAGGTAGAATTGCAAAGAGTGGTGAGGTAAGCTATACATACGACCGAAATCGATACGGTCGAACGAATTATTCAATGTCCCAACTATCTACAATCACTTGTATTTATTTGTCTTGGAAAATAGCTTCTTGTTGATGCAGGAGAAGCTCGCAAGAATAATGAGCTTTGCGATGCATGTGGGACTCCAGGAACATTGATCTGCTGTGATATATGTCCAAGAACATTCCATTTTCACTGTGTCTTTCCTGTGTTGAGCCCCAAGTCACCGCCGACAGGAGAGTGGTATTGTGATCAGTGTATCTATGATCGTCATTATGAACAGATTACGCGAAATCGAGGGCGAAACCAACGACAATTGCAGGTAAATGGTTCGCCCCCCTCTGGTTCACAAACAGGGCAACACTCAACACAGTCTCAGAAAAAGATCGCGAACATCAAGTCACTGAATACAAGAGAAGCATTATCGGTGAGCTGATCTCGATTCTGTAGAGTAAACTTTTCCATACAAGATATCATATTGATGACAACTTGCGTATCTTGAACTCTCTACGATTAGAAGATAAAAGTCAAACAACAACCACCGCTATTATCACAGCTAGAGCATTTGTTTACAAGTATCAATCCAAAACAATACCGTTTGCCAGCAGATATTGAAGAATATTTTGAAGGGGGTTAGTAGCCTATCGTAAAAGTGATTTGTCCTTCTTGTTTTGCTCTTCAGATTTCCCCCGCTTACATTCTATATTTATGCTACAGTGACTGCCGGTACAACTGGAGAATATGTCGATGCATCAAAACGAAAACCTGTAAAATTAGAGTATGTTTTGTATGTAATTAAGTTGCTTTCATACAAGGCGAAAAGTTATAACCCTTTATTTATAAATTCACAGTAAAAATAGCATGGAAATATTACCTGATTATTATCAAATCAAGGATGAGCAGACGGGAAAATACATTTACTGCCATGCTTGTGGCAAGACGGCGAAAAAACCCAAAAAGATTATTGCCTGTGACTATTGCGATCTCTGGTGGCATCTCGATTGTCTTGACCCACCAATGGTCGTGCCACCTCCAATCGATAGGCAGTGGATGTGTCCTTGTCATGCTGACCATTTGCTGGTATTTAAAAGATCACATGTATGGAGCCGTGTATTGACATTTTGGCCTACAATTACTGATCAATCAATTCCTCTCGATTGTTATTATTTGCAGCCGCGTAAACGCAAGGTGCGAGGTGCTCCAGTTTCGACATTCGGAGAATCACTGGGTTCGGATTGTGTAGGTCTCGAGGACGATGTAGTTGAATACGAAGACGTCTACGTGAATAGCAAGAAATATAAACTTCCAAAAAAGGGTGTTGTATTAAACTGGTTTGGACAAATGCGTCAGGAGGAAGAACGCAGACAAAGATCAGAGAGGCGTGCCGAAGAGGAGCGAGAGTACATAGTCAAAAAGATGGAAGCAGACTTTAAAGAACCGGATCCTAGTCAATATGGGCTATGGATATTAATGAAAGGGGCACTAACAGAAACAGGTAATATAAATGAGGAAGACAAGCCATGATACAAAAATAATTAAAATTAATATTATCAGGGTAAGTTGAATGTGTGTGCTGACCCATCATTTTATTAAAAAAGTATGTGAATCATGTCATTAAATAGTATACAGTTCCTATAATTGATAACATTAAAGAAAAAAAAATTACACAATTAAATATACAGGATAATCTATGCAAGGAACCCTTTAGAATAAGACACGCGAATTTGGACTTCACCCGCATTCACATGTACGAGACGTTTAGCTGGTCGCTTTGCCCCTTTTCTTGTTGGTCTTGGCTTTCCAGATCTCATCTCTGTACTCGGTGAATCCGCGAATGATAAAGTTTCCTTTTGTACTATTGCCTCGTTCGTAGTAGGTGGTTGATATTCCTCAGTAGTCACCGTGCCTGGAATGGCGCCCGGAATAGCACCCGGAATGGCGCCCGGAACAGCGCCTGGTGGCCCATGTGATTTTACAGACTTGGTCAATGTCTTTTTTATTGTCCATACTCCGTTTTTTCCCGTATATTTTTCTAATGGAATGTATGTCTCTCCCAAAATATCATCTTTACCAATGAGTTTGGATTTGTAAAGTCGCAGTTGTAAACTAGCATGAGCCGGATCTCTTACATAGAACACATACTCTGAACCAAAGTTGATTATTCCCTTATTACATGACGTGGAGAGCACGCGAAAGCCTTGTCGATTACGATCTTTCATGTCAGAAAATGTTAGTTGCATGTAAGTCTTGCCCCCAGCCTTGTTCAAATTAACTGAATCGACTTGCACGCGTACAAGCCCAACAAAATATGACTTTCCAAAGTACACTATCGGATACCACCATTTTTTCTTGGGCGCATCACGAGTAAGAAGCCCAACGCCCAAATGACGAGAGGAAAATAACCGCATAAAATAAACACCTTCTTTTCCTGGATCATATGTGGATGGAATCAGTATATATCGTCCACATTTGAGTTCCAGACGACCAGTTACTTCGCGGGCATTAATATACGTCACTTGGCCGGTGACATCGTATGTTGGTTCATGTATTCGATATTTTCTGTTCTCTTCAACTTTCAAGCACACATATCCTATCGTTAAATATTGAAATGCCTCAAGTCGTTCCATGCGTTGATCATCCTGCATTAGAGCCACTATTACAACTGTCGGTTTTTTAACCGTAATCACGTATTGAGAATTCTTGTAGAACGTTTCTACGTTGTTAATACAGCCTCCCAGAGTATCTGTTTCTTCAGACCATTCACCTCGAAACATTGTGCTGTGCCATCGTTTCTTGAATGAGAACAATGAAGTATTAAGATGTCGACAGATCACAAGTGTTGAAAAATTATAGATAAAGTCTTCGAAAGCCTGTGTGAAAAAAATAAAGTTAGCTAATCCGAAATATTAAAAAAAAAAAATCGACGCAAACATTCAATGTACCATCCAAAAATCTCCACGTTGAGTCACTTCGCGTTTAAGCTTATTACGTGTATGAGAATTCACCGTCTCCCATATAGGAGACCTGTTTGACCAAGATCCATTCCATTCTATTTCACCCCACGGATTACGAAGCTTCACTAACAATGCTTCTTTGTTTCTAAACCATGAGACTGTGACCTTTCGTAATCCCGTTATACAGTAAGCATGTCCAATGACCAGCCCATTTGGTAATCTTTCTTCCGGTCTATCGCCTTCGTCTACATTTATTGAACAGCTCATAAGCCCTCCATTCTTACAAGCAATACGCATATAGATGCCAAAGTCCTCATCACTCATTTTGGACAATATCCCCCCTTCCTCGCGGCTGATATCCATAATTTCCGGAACAGTTCCGGTTAAATCAACCAGCGCATCCGACGCTGATCCAGTCTCAAGAGCTTCGTAGCATCCACATAATTTCGCATAAGCCTTTTCCAATAATGAACGCCACATCTCGTCGGGGTTTTTTGAGCGTGAATATATCAATCGGCCATTTACAGTTGGAAGGTAATCATCGACTACAACTTCAATCCATTGACCATAACGATAGAATCTGAAGCGAAAGACACCTGTACCGAATCAAATGTCTTAAGAAATTGTACGTTTATATAAGAAAATTGTATACAATACA